TAGATAGATAGATAGATAGATAGATAGATAGATAGATAGATAGATAGATAGAAAAGCAGCTTAAAACTAAATTAGCTTCTCCAGGCAGGCAGGAGAGACAAACCTGAAAAACTTGGAATGAATATGAACATCAATTATATTTTAACATTAGAATGATTAGTTTATTTCAACCCCTAGACAATGAGACTCATTAAATTGACTGATGTAGGTATATCCATTAAATGTCTACAATTTCTAGCTAGTAAAGGGGATGATTAATCCCAGGGATCAGCTTCTGCAGCAAGAACACAATAGATACATCAAATTCAGTCGGAAGAATGGAGTAATAACATGTTAGCTGAGGGGGTGCTCCCTTGAGTTATTCTTAGACCATTAACTAAACAATTTAAGTTGAACATAAAAACCATTTTCTGACTTCCATATTAAAAGTAAAAGAAAAATGTGGCCAGGGGCTGTACCAGAGTCTGATCTGGAAGAGAGTTTATTTTATGATCCAGGCTTTCCATTTGGAAGTTTCTGAAACTTCATTCCCGGACCCACATAAATCATGTTAGGTAAATGTGTCTCGAGGCATTGCTCCTGACTTTGTAAGGACTCATTATTTTTTCATGTAATGTATTTACAGCTCCACAAATAATTCTCAATACCTGTGCACTGACAGTTGACAGAAAGAGAAGCAGGATCTTGTCAGAAACATTATTTAAAACCAGTATTAGAAAGAAAGGATTAAAAAAGACACAGCTCCTTCGGAACAAGCTGGTCTTTTGACAGCGGCAGCCATCATCAATTTCTGTGAAAATTCTGCTTATGTTCTGAGGCAGCTAATGTAAACAAATGCTGTCACTTAAGTAACTACTGAAAACTTAAACTATGGGGTTAGGGAATACAGAAGATGGAGAACCTTTTGTTACCTCATTATGCTTTTACTTTTCCCCAAAGCAAGATTTGAACATCATTTTAACTGGTGTGAGCTGCCCTAACAAATGATTTAGTCTGCCTGGATTAAACAATAGGAGTTTGTTTCCTATAATTCTCGAGGTTGAGATGTACAAGATCAAAGCAGAAGCTGATTTGGTGCCAGTGAGGGTCCCCTTTCTCATTTACCCCTGCTTATTGTAAGCTCTCACTGAGGAGTCCATTTTTCTTGTTTCTATTCTTAAAAGGACACTGATTAGAATCACTAGGGATCCACCATCAGGACCTTACTATGTACCAAAGCCTTTACCTTCATGTAGCATCACCCTGGGTCCAATACCTGAATTTGGGGGGTGGGGATGGAAACGCATCAAGTTCTTAGCAGCACTCTAGCTTTTAACACAGACAAACAAATGCCAAGGTAAAGTTCAAACTGTCTTTCCTGCACCTACTCCAAGTGTATTTCACCTTAGAGAGGACATTTTGCAACCAGAAATGTATTCATCCTCCTCTGTGTGGTCACTCCAGTTTCCTTTTAGAGTCTACTATATTCTCCATAGCCTCTATGGCCTCTGGAACTTCCCTAGCTTGGATGTGGATCATAGAATTCTGGACCAAATAACTCAGACCCATGCATTTCCCTACACATCACATTTGATCCAAAATGGGTATGGTATATTTGGAGCTAAAGCAATTCAACAGGGCTTTTGAACAAAGTGCTGGGATGACAACACCCACCTTTCCACTGGATAAGAAGTCAGAAGGATGCTGGCAGAAGCCACCCACTGCCATCTGTGATCACAGGGAAATGGCTGAGAGGGAAGCTGAACTCTTGGTCATTCTATTTAAGGTCTTTTATCCAACTTCTCCCAAAGCACAAATCAAGATGTTTTTTGCTGTAAAACGTATGGGGTCAATTTCCTGACCCCTTTTAGGATAATAAGAAAGCCTATTATTCTTGCCTACTGCTACTTAGCTTAAAGAGAGAACAAGGCACATGGGACACGCCAATTCTTTCTGTTACTTGAGCTATGACAAAGGCCTTTAAGTGTTCATTTTACTTTGGGTCTCTGGTTTTAAAGTGTTCGCTTGACAGATTTTCTTCCTTTTGATAATGCTGAATTTTAGTTTGATTTATCCACTTGGCTTATTGTAACCCAGTACTACCTATTATAAGCATCTTTGTACAACACACAGCACAAAACTTACACTCTGCTCTTGAGTTTATTCTGGATCTGTTTCTTTGTTCCCACTGGCTTGTTCTGTGAAACTCCCACAGTCTTTTCACGTAACATTGATTCATAACGCAGTAGAATAGTCCATAGAGCTGGCCTGATCCCGTGCTCTAGGTTATTCAGAATTTTCTTGATTTTACATATGTAAAGATAATTTTATTGATCCTTAATTACTCAGAAATGTATGTGTGGCACACAAACCACATGTCAACAATTTAAAGTTTAAGAAAGAATTGCCAGGACCCACAGTCGGTCTCATTCCCCTTCCATGTCATACTTCCTCACTCAGGACACACACACACACACACACACACACACACACACACACACACACACA